TGCACGCGCGCAAGACAGAGTCGCGTGCCGTTTCAAGGTGGGAGTCATGCAAGATGCCAGCTACTGGGAGCGATCAAATTCAGAACTTCTAGTCTTAGTTCGCACATGTTCGCACAGGACGCCCATGCTGACTCTTGCGTCATGCGCCTGGCATGGTGTCGAAGATAGTCTCCAGGGGGGCGCGAGAGTCGGCGCAGCCAACGATCGCCGTGTGCGGGGCTTGGCCCTGCGCCACCAGCTCCTTGCGAATCACTGAGTTGGTGCGGTTGGCAAGCGGGCGCCCCTCCACGAAGCGCTTGTTGCCGTCCTGCAGGCAGTGGTGCGGCTGTCACCAGAAAACTGGCTCTGTTTCAAAGCAAAGCGCCTTGAGAAGACTGAGGGCTTCCTTGGGCCCCAGGGGCGGATCTGCGGCCGTGCGCACCGGCCGCACGTCCGGGCTGCTGCACATAGTCAGGGCGCCCGTCAGCTGCGAGAAGAAGGACATGGCGAAGACCTCGCATCTGCAGCACACTTGGCAGACTTAACAGCTCTTTCCGGACAAGCCCCAAGATTGTAGCTGCGGTAGCACCAAAACCCTATCACCCCATGGTCTACCTCTGACAGCGCCTCTTCTGCAACTCGTGAATCAATGGCAGTTCTGAAGTGCGAGTTCCTTTGTCTATGCAGGCCGGGCTGCAAGTTGGCAGAGGGCAAATAGCGAGCGTTGGCACGGGCGCAAAGCTGCTCGAGAAAAAACACAACAGACATCGAGTCTGACTTTACACTCAGCACCAGTCTGACTTTACACTCAGCACCAGCATCATTCCTGGCTTAGGTCTTTGCATTGTTAATGTGCTCTTGCATGCTCATTCATCCAGGTCTCTAAAGCCGTCTGACGCTCAAAGGCACCCACATCTAGGATTTCTGCTGTCAGTCGCAAGGCGATGAAATCTCTAAGGGCCGAGCTGTTGGCTGAAACTGCTTGCCCCATATCTGCCTCCCACAGATAGGGTTTAGTGTTTAAGGGTTTAGGGTATACAGCTTCCACGAATCCCAAAAGAGTTCATTGACCTCACTGGAAAACAGGCTGAGCTCTCGACGAACCCTGCGTGTCCTGGCGCAGCGATCCCATCCAGTCATGGCGAGAATAACGCTCACCTTGTTTCCCAGACCCCCTAAAGGATCCAAAGCACGGAACCCCCTAACGATCTCCTAGTTTCCCCAATCTAGTAACGGGAGTCATTTGGGGGAGTCCATTTTTTGGATCCTTTAAGAGCGTCTGGGTTCGGCCCGGTTCAGCTGTCTCGAGACGGGGATGTATATAACCAGTTGCCAGGTTGTGGCTGCTCTTCTTATTCTTGTAATTAGTGTTGGTAAGAATTATGGTTATTATGATTATTGCTATGATTACTCTTATTGTTATTGTCGTTATGATTGCTAAGGACCAGAAGACACAAGGTAGCTGCGCGCCAGGTAGTGCCCCTTTCACTGTTAGCAGCCGCCGCATGCTTGCTCAAGCTTCAGAACTGTCTGAGGCGAGAACGGCCTCGTTCCTGCTCAGCCAATAGGTGCAAGCAGCATAAACGAGTCAGGCAGATCTCCTCATGCATTGCTGCCATGATTAGTCGGTCCTCTTGTTGTGCAATTCCCCCACCAATACTACTACTACTACTACTACTACTACTACTGCCTCCTCCTGCTGCTACTACTACCTACTACGATACAACAACACCCACCACTACTACTCCTGCTGTTGCTACGACTATTGCTGCTGCTACTGCTACTGCTACTGCTACTGCCACTGCCACTGCCACTGTTACTGCTGCTGCTGCTGCTACTACGACTCTAAGGAGGAGGAGGAGCACGAGTACCAATGCCGACGCCACCCCGCCAGCGCCACTGACTTCTTAGGCCTGCAACTACGACTTCTCCTTCTACAATACCAGCTGCGTTGTTGCTATTGCTGTTACTGTTGCCATGGTAATGGTGCGCAAAAGTGGAGCCCACACCTCCGATGCGGCCACGTTGGGGATCTGTGCAGCTGGCCGAGTGGAGGCTGCCCAAGCCTGTCACAAGATTTTGGATTTCCTTTTTGACCAGTGTTTAGGGTCTAGGTGGTAATTAAGGAATGGGCTGTTTTGGTTTACTGTAGAGACGACCGTTAGGATTGTGATCATGATCCATTCTGGTCCTACATTCCCTTCTAACAAAATGCAACACCAAATTCTGGGATCCAATTGCTACAGGGCTACACAAATTTGTGGGGCACGCCTTTCATAGATACCTTGATCAAACTGATAGTGACAATGGCAGCCAGAAAGGACAGGGCTATTATAGTGATGTGTAGAAGAAAGCTTACAACTGTGCAAATAGCAATAGTACGAGTACAAGTAATGGAAACTGAAACCTTAACAAAACACATGGTATCCCACCACGCGGCCCCAGCTTTAGATGCATCAACGCAGTGTTTTTGCATGCTTTTGCTACACGCTGGTCCAGAGCATTGCGGGGGGTGAGCAAAAAACTTGCCCTTGATGTGAACATCCTCCTCCTGGATTGTGGCACGTGCTGTTGCTGACTTGATTTCAGGCTGAGTAGAAATATGGTCTCCCTTTAAGTAGATAGAATATTGGGTATATGTGGATCTTATTTATAATATACCCAAAGCCATATTCTATCTACTTAAGGGGGACTACATGTAGTGGCAGGCAGAGGGTTTGCTTGACCTGCAGGGGAAGGGCATGCACGGCCTGCAATGATGGCTCTAGCTTGCGGCATCGTGCTGGCGAAGGAGCCTCCATGTGAGCTATAGTCTGAACTCCTCAAAGGGGTTTATACAGGGGACTTTAAGGTTTAGGGTCTAAACTCCTTAAAAGATGTTATAGGGATTATATAACCTCCTTCATTTAGGGTTTGGAGTCTGAACTCTTCAAAGGGGGTTATATGGGGATTATATAGGGGACTACTATAAGGGACATGAAGGGGGATACTGGGGAGTTTAGACTGTAGCTCATGTGAGGTGCAGTTGACATTAGTTGACAGTGGGTTGGCTTCCAAAAATTTGGGTTGGCGGTATAGCCGTGGTTGTCCATAATCAGGGCGCCCCCCAAAGCTGCACAGAATATAGCAATAAAGGAAGTCTTGCAAACAGACCTGCGCTGGCATGCTACTGGGTTGCTGTTAAGGGACTTAAATTAAGTTACCATAATGGGTATATATAGTAAATAATAGGGTTTCCCCAATATCGTAACTTAATTTAAGTTCCTTAAATCCCTATATTTCCCTCAGTTTCCATTTCATTTTCCGTTTTATTTTCCATTTGATTCTCCATTATAGGGGGATAATATACCCTAAACCCTGAACCCTAAACCCTAAACCCTATACCCAAGTTGGGCACTTGGACCTCTAGAGGAAGCCTTGGTCAGAGCAAAACTTTTTCTCTCATCAGGCGGCACCCCCGGCAACGAGATTCCCCAGACGCCGCCCGCCGTCTTTAACAGACCGGCCCCCTCAGGACTCGGGTCGGTAGCATGTTGTGAAAGGGTTTACAGCCCACAATATAGAGTGAGAGGTTGGATTCAGTTACTCACAACCTTTCATATATGAGGGCATTATCTTACTTAGCTCAACCAGCACAATACGAACAATGCTTAAACGGCTGCATTCACAGATGGGAGAATGTTGACATTCTTGGCTTTGTAGCCCCACTTCAGTAGATGAAATATGGCTTTGGGTATTTTTTATAAAATCCCCATATACCCCATATTCTATCTGCTCCAGCAGGACTATAGAGTTCTGGGTGGAGAGTTGTTTGGGCTTTTGGTCTGCTTAGGTTTGAGTTCTGACAGTTCATGTTCATGTTTTTGAGATTGATATGGTAGTTTCCTTAAGTAGGGGAACTCCAATACACACCCAAAAATAGTATGATGCTTATCATTGGGACCCCCAAAAACTCACCCCTAATTTTAAGAAACTAACCACATATAGGAGCTTGCAGTCAGCTAGCATTCACCTACTACTGCGGCCAGACACGCTTGCAGGATCCATCTTCGAAAGGATATGTACTGGGTATGGCTTTCTTGGATAGGCTTTAGGGCCTCTGGTTTAGGGCTCATGGTTAAGGGTTTAGGGTTTAGGTGGGTATGACATTTTTGTTATAGCAAGCACTATCACAGGATGTTTGTCTGGCAACCTCCGACCTGTGCAAAACAACTAGAAGCTTCTCCCTTAATGGGTAATCTTCTCGCCCACCGTATACGCCTTCGGATCTTAAGCAAAAGTACTGCGGCCGTGAAGCAGTGGAGTAGTGTAGATTGGGAAAGGATTTTTGGGTGTTATGCTTCGATTTTTACGATAACTACAATAGACATATGAGTCATCTGGTCCGAATTCCTAGTATCCTCCTTAATAATCTCTATAATACTTCTCTGTATGATGTCCTCTATAACCCTTTTAACTCGACCCTCTCCTGAACTGTCTAACGAGAGTTTGACTATAGCTCACACGAGGGGTATTAGGTTTTGGGCGGGGCTCCGAAACCTACCCTAGACCCTAAATCTCCCAAAACCTTCCCCTCAACCTTAAACCCCCCTAAAGCCTGAACCGCCCCCCGCCCCGAAGCCTATACCCTAACAGCTTCGGGACCTTGGAAGAACCTGAGCAACAAGCAATAGACTCCGCACAGCCATACAGTCTTGGACCCAATTCGTGCGTTGAAGTTTTGCATTTGCCTAGCAGAGCGATACGGTGACAGCCAAAAGGGATAAGTTCAGGTCATGTCCTGGAGGTTCCCCGCCCGAATGCTGCCAGCATTAGGATTCTGCTTAGGGTTTAAAATATAGAGTTGTCTCCAAATCCTGCAAAACGACAAAGTGACCGTCCAAAAGCGATAAGAGTAAGGAACGTTCCCTAAGGGTCCTTGTAGGTATATAGTATCCACTCAGGGGCCAAAGGGGTTCTCGTCATACCTACTTTAGGGCCCAAGTATATACCATATACCTACATGGACTCTTTGGGGTTGGAAGGATTGGGTAAAGGGCCCATATAACCCTAGTAGCTTCCATTTTCTTATCCATTGTCCCAACATTACCCCAGCATACTATAGTAGTTGCCATTTTCTTTTCCAATATCCCTATATAACCCCAAAAGGGTTTTGCCGCGAGCTTGACCCTGGTAAACCCTAAACCCTAAACCCTAAACTGTAACCCCAGCATCCCTGTAGCTAGGCAACCACAAGACTTAGCTCAGGATACATGGACTTTCGAAGATTTGGTTTAGGGTTTTGGGTTGAAAGGTTTAGGGTTTAAGGGATTAGGGTTTAAGGGTTTAGGAGTTTAGGGTTTAAGGGTGTAGATTGTAGGGTCCCTGTATGGACATTATAGCCTTTTCCTGGGTATGTAAGGGAGTTATAGAGGGCTTTTCCAAGATTAGAGGCATGGTTTTGGGTCCCTGTATAGAGGATCTTTCTTGTTGGGGGGTGTGTCAAGGGGGCCTGCGTGTTTAGAA